TAGTATTTGCTTAAAAGAATCTACGGAAGGCGACTGGTGGATACAGATGAAACAAAAACATCCATGCACTGGTAACTGGTACACATGGATGCTGAATACATGGCAGTTCATTGTACCACAATGAACTCTCTACGTTCGTAAACCTGGGGATTTTCCCCAATAGAAAGTAGAAATGTCTCTGGTCTGGGGGTACCCAACAGAGTTGAAGAGGAAACATACAACAAAGATATGGCATTAAGGTGTACTGAAGTTATAGTGCAAAGATCACCCTATTTCTTCTCCTCTTGACCACTAGAGCATCATCAGGTAGAATCTTCCTCTGCAAGGAAAGAGATGCAAGCAAGGAAAAACCTGAAGGTGCAGAACCAGAGCCCACAAAGATCACCCTGCAATGAAGCTGAGCTAATCATCTACGTCCCACATTCAAAGTGTCCTGACAGCATTTTAAAATAATTTTTTTGAAATATAATTCACAAAGTACACAATTACCCTTTTAAAGTACACAATTCAGTGGTTTTTAGTACAGTACAAACATTAACACAATCAATTTTAGAACATTCTCCTCTCCCTATGCCCATTAGCAGTCACTTTGTACCCCACCCCCCTGCCCCAGGCAGCTACTAATCTATTACCTGTCTCTACAGATTTGCCAGTTCTGGACATTTCATATAAATGAAGTCATATTCTATGTGGTCTTTAGTGACTTCTTTCACTTGCCTTAATATCAAGGTCTTAACAGCCTCTTTCCTCCCTTTCTTAATCCGGAGCAACACAGCCAAGGATCACATTCAATGTGACATTTTCTGAAAGTCACTAATGAAGATACAACTACAGAAAGTGCAAGAAAAGCAACTCAAAGGAAACAGATACCATGGGTGGTGGGTGGGGAGAGTACCATTAATGTTCTCACAAAAATGAAATAAAACTACATTCATGAAACAAAATTAGAATACTATTAAAAGGAAATACTAACCAAAAGAGCTCTTAGAAATTGACAACATAATAGCAGATTAAAAAAAAAAAGAACTCAATGAAAGGATGCCAAGATAAATTTGAGGACATCTTCTAGAGAGCAAAATCAAAAGGCAAAGATATGTAAGACAGAAGAGAGAAGAATATTCTAGAGCACTACACTAGTACAGGGGACCAATAAATGATTAATTCTCAAGAAAAAATGAACAGAAAAATAAAAGAAAAATCATAACAATATAGTTTAATAAAACTTTGAACTTAAAAATGCAGGTTGCGGCCTGGTGTGGTGGTGCACGCCTGTAATCTCAGCTGCTTAAGAGGCTGAGGCAGGAGAATTGAGAATTTAAAGCCAGCCTTGGCAAAAGGGAGGTGCTAAGCAACTCAATGAGACCATGTCTCTAAATAAAATTAAAAACAGGGGGCTTGAGATGTGGCTCAAGTAGTAGCGTGCTCGCCTGGCATGTGTGAGGCACTGGGTTCAATCCTCAGCACTACATTAAAAATTTAAAAATAAAGATATTTTAAAAAATTAAAAATAGGGCTAGGAATATGGCTCAGTGGTTGAGTGCCCCTGAGTTCAATCCCCAGTATCCAACCCCCCCAAAAGAATGCAGGTTGCTAGGTTGAAATGGCCCTGAACAGTGTGACATTTCCATGAAATTCCAGAAAACTGAAAAAGAAACATTCCATAAGCTGTCAGGAAAAAAGAATCTATATACGAAGAATCAAAAATAGAACCCTTCCAGCTTATCTACAGTGACAATGAAGCAATGCCATTAAAAGGTAAAGGAGGAGCTGGGGTTGTGGCTCAGGGGAAGAGCGCTCACCTAGCACATGCAAGGCCCTGGGTTTGATCCTCAGCACCACATAAATAAATAAAATAAAGGTATTGTGTCCAACTACAACTAAAAAATAAATATAAAAAAAAATAAAGGGAAGTGACTTCCAACTACAGTACAATACCCAGGTAAAGCACATCAAGAGTGAGGACAGAACAAAGACAAGTACACAAGCTCTCAGAAAGTCACATCCCAAGCACGTGTTTTAAGATGCTCCTGGAGCATTTCCTTCTTTGGGTGGCATACAAGGAGCAGGGGATCTAAGGCAGACAGGCCAAGGACCCCAACATGACTGCCACTTGGAGAAGCCAAGCAGACTGGAAGCATAATTCAAGGCACACACATGCTGCAGATGGCCATCACCAACAACCCCACTGCTGTTAGATACTCCCTTATGTTGTATTTCTAAATATTTTAAATATATAATTATAAAATTTTCAAACATGCAAATATGGAACCCCATACCCATTAACCAAATTCAACAATTGTCAAGAACTTGGCATATTTACTTACCTTTTACCCCTATTTTTCTATTTAAATGTTTTAAAACAAATTCCACTTCATACTATTTCATCATTATATACTTCAGAACCCAACTCTATACTGAAGCCCTAACCAGTTCCCAAAACCTCAGAATATGACACTGGTGTTTTAAAGAAGAGGGGATTAGGATGCACACAACATAGACACCAGGTGAGGGGAAAGCAAAAGGGCAACCATCTGCGAGCTCAGGAGAGAGGCCTCAGAGGAAAGCAAACCTTCCGGCATATAGATCTAGGACTTCCCGCCTCCAGAACCCTGAGAAAAACTATGTTGAAGCCAATCAGGGATTTTGTTATGGTAGCCCTAGCAAACTAATAAAACATAGATTATCCAAATCAAAACAAGGTTCATACAGTACATTTGGTTATAATTCTCTCTTTATTCTCCCTTGAGACTGGGTCTATGTTGCTCAGACTGGCCTTGAACTCCTTCCTAGGTTAAAGCCAACCTCCTACCCCAAGCTTCTGAGTAGCTGGGACTACAGGAGTGCATCACCATGCCCAGTTCTGGTTATAATTCTTAAGTCACTTTTACCCCTATTTTTCTATTTAAATGTTTTAAATTGTTTCTATTTAAATGTTTTTAAATTTTTTCATGCCATTGACTTGTTGCAGAAGCAAAGTCAGTGTCCAAAAGAATGTTCCACAGTCTGAACTTACCTGCTTGCTTCCTTGGAGTATAATTCAACTTGCTGTTCCTTCCTCCATCTTTCCAAAAAATCGAAGTTAACTCTAGAGCTTGATTATATCTAGTGGTCAACTTCTAGTTAGAATATTCCACAGGTAGTAATGGATACTCTCTTATTAACCTGACAAAGAATGCCCAGGTTCTTGGTCCAGAGGCTGTTCTGACTATTTGTTTTGACCACATGTGGCTCGCCTCTTCTTGCTGCCTGTCTGGATTGGCTGATACTTTCACTTCACCCTACTGAGGAGTTTTGCTTTGGCCTTCTTCCTGAGAGCTGGAGGTGGGCTACTCTCTGTGACCACATTACAATCAGATGTTGAGCTGAAGCCCTATCAGATACCCTAATAGTGGTAAGCCTTATATTTCCTCGCATTTGCTCACAACTTGCCCACTTACATCCTCTTTAGGACCTTTTGTAACTCCCAGGAAGCAAAAGCCAGACAAGACACACAGTTTACAGCTTATTAATAGTGGCAAGGTTGCCCTTTTCTTTTCTTTTTTTTATATTTATTTTTTAGTTTTAAGTGGACACAATATCTTTATTTTTTATTTTTATGTGGTGCTGAGAATCGAACCCAGTGCCTCGTGCATGCTAGGCGAGCGCGCTACCACTTGAGCCACATCCCCAGCCCTGGTTGCCCTTTTCTTACAAAGCTTGCTAGGTTTGTGCTTGCTTCTGTTGTTAAAAAATTAAACAACATTTGTTTTAGTAATACAAACATGGGGTGGCTAAAGCACAAAGAAAATCAGGGAATGACCAACACAAAGGTCAAAGTAAACATCACCTCTGGTAAGGAGGATACATGAGCCGCTTCTGGGTATCCATAATGTGCAGTTTACTAAACTGGAAGGTAGATACATAATTTGCATTTTGACCTTCTTCCTTAAACTGTAAGTGTATATTTAAAACACTCTTGGGTATGTATTGTATATTTCAGGTTAATTATTTTTTCTGTCAGCAGTCTGCAGTGGCAAGGACACAGGATTTGAAGAAAGAGTAACAGCAGAAAAGATTGAAAATGGGAGTTTACTCTGAAGGCAAATAGGTACTTCAGGGACACTGTCTTGGGTGTGTCATCAGGAGACATTTATACCCAAGATCAAATGGCTTCTTCACAATCTATCCATCAGGAATGATAGGGAAAAAGCCCTTCTTTCTACTAAGTCACCTAGTGATGAAATAGCTGATGAATTAAGCCTCTTACTCAGAAACATAATAATATGGTTTTGATGTATTTTTCCAGGGAGAGGAGTTCCAGCTTGCCCGAGGTAACATACTTGCCTTAAATTCACAAATGACACAAAGCTGGGAGGGATGCAGAACAAATGTTTTCAATGACAGAAGCGGGATATATCTTGGTGAGCTAGAATGACAGGTCAAATCTAGCCCAATTTATAATAACATCTCCCATTTGTTGAGAACATATGACATGCCAAGAGCTTTACATAATTTAACTCATTTAATCCTCACAATCACACTGTGAAGCTGAGACCCAGGAACATCACTTGCCCAAGGTCATAAAGAAAGTTAATAGCAGAATCATGATTAAACCTAGGTTTTCAGACTCAAGTTTCAATTTCAAGAAAGATTCCTCCTGCAACCAGAAATTAACATTTTAAACTAAGTCTTCTTTAATTCAGTTTGCCATCCTCAGAACTGCCCTCAAATCCAACCCTCTTGGGTATATGAAAGTATCAGCACCTCTGAAGAATGATCAGATCAGGCTGATTTAATTAATATGACACGTGGGAACCCTATGACAGCTGCCAGGGAGCCTCCATCTGCCCTTAAGAGCAAGCTGTAACAGGATTCTCTCTGCTACACACTCCCAGATTAGCTATGTCTGCCTCCTAGTCTGAATTTAAGATTTTACACATCTCACGCTCTGCATTTATAGACGGGGGTCCCTCATTGCAAAGATTACTGAGCAAAAAACCCTCAGCCAGGATGTTCCCCACCTTCAATATTCTCTTGTCCCAGATTTGATGGGTGTGTTTAGCTGGGAGAAGAGCATATAAACAGCTCCCATGCACAGTCATATCCAATGGAGCAATCTCGAAAGACAGCCAGAGAATTTTAATGAAAACCAGAAAACCCCTGGCTGCTAAGTCCAACTGTGATCTGGGCCTGCCAGCCCCTCCCTCTGCAGCTCAGAATCCCTGAGCCAGCTTCCTCCCAAAGAGCAGGGAAGAAAATCCATTTTGCATTCAGTAACGCCTTTCACAGTCACCACTTTCCAGGGTTATTTAGGTTAGAGAAGGGTTACATGTTAACTGCAACAGGACCCAGGGACCCTGAGAAGCACAGGGTGTGGCTGCAGCAGATCTGCACCAGCAGATTATGAAACAGTCATAAAAAAAAAAAAAAAGGCTCTTTCCTTCTGCCAAAGCTGTCTGCCCACAGCTGCATACAAGGCTAGTGGGGAATCTTAACAAGTTTAAAGGGGCCGTATTTCAAATACTTGAGAACCAAAGGGGAAGAAATGAGTATTTTGAGCACTTACTGTGTATCAGGTGCTCTGGTCTCAGCTCACCTTCACTATGAGACTGGAATTCTAAACTGCATGTGCCAGATAAGAACACTAGCTCAGAGAGGTTAGAAAACCTGTCCAAGACACACAGCTGGTAAGTGGAGAAACAAGACTCAAAGTTCAGTATGGATGAGGGTTATCAAAAATACCAAACTCGAAATCCTGACTTGCCTCATCCAATAAAAAGAATGATCATTTACTGAACATTGGCTATGTGCCCAGCACTAAGCTAAGATTTTTACATTCATTATTTAATTTAATCATTAGCAATCAGATAAGATAGGGGTCATTATTATGCTCATTTTAAAATAAGCAAACTAAGCCTTAGGTATTAAGCTCAGCCGGAGGACATGATGTTACCAGATTTGAACCCCAGGTTATCTAATTGAAGAGCCTCTACCTTAAAACACTCAAACAGCCTACAGCAGGAAACTATTTAAGCCATTCCACCAAGCAAGCCAAGTCACCTTGAGATTTCTGCTTCCCTTCTTGGCAGGAAAATCCAAGTTCTAGGCTTACCTTTCAGTTCCTCCTAGCACCCTTGGTGGAGGCACAGAATCTCTGGGATAGCTGATAGCTACATTTCTAGGTTTCTAGGACCCTACATGTGTAAAGGAGAAGGTTACTATCATGATACTGGCTCCCCTGAGCAGAGGCAGACAGCCCCTTTGCAGGCTCTGCTCCACAGGCCCATACAGCCTCACAGCAGCCCCCACCCCAACAGCTCACAGGCCATTTTGTATTCTTAACAGGAGACCACGTGCTGCCTCCTGGAGTAACTGTGATTTCCCAGGGGAAATGACTGTCTAGACAGAGCATCTCAATCCATCTTGGGAAAAAATGGGCAATACGATGTAAGGATTGATCACAGATTTTGGACTCTGTGTTCAGCACCCCAGTGAAGGCTCTGGGCTTAGTGCCTCTGGGTTATCAAACTGAGCATCATCGCTTGATGTGGATACCCCAGTTGAGAACAGTCTTTCCAGCTGCACAAGTGTGACCTGAGGGGCATCTAACAACCAGGCTTATGGCTGTGCACAAAGGCATATCACACCATTCCATTAATCAGGATGAAACCTGATAGACCACTTTTATGCATGTTCAGAATTAAGCACTATGCTTTGAGGTGGACTGAGCACCTAATACGTGCCGGATACTATAACATTAATTAATATGTCTTAATTAACCTTCACGACATTCTGTGAAGTAAATAGGATTGCTATTAGGCAAATGAGGCAACTGAAATCCAGAGAAGTAATGTAATTTGCTGAAAGTCACACAGGAAGTGGCAAAGCTCAAATTCATATCTGTTTTTAGCATGACCCCATACACTTTCATTCAGTCAATACTAAGTCCACTCATTTATTCCTCAGATATTGATTGAGTACTTTCTATGAACCAGCTACTGTGCCACTCAGAGAATGTAACTGTTCACATACATGATAGTTCCAGTTACTAAAAATCTTGTTTTCTCATAAGGAACAATGAGCATGTAGATTGGAAGGATAACTAAGATGAGTGATCAGGGCAGGCCTTTCTGAAGAAGTAGTATCTGGGCTGAGACCTGAGACATGAGAATGAGTCAGTCATTTGTAAGCCAGGAAAAGAAAAGTGTAGATAGAAGTAACTAGAAGTACAAGAGCTGGATGCAGGGAAAAAGTTTTGGCATGTCCTAGGAGCATAAAGAAGACTGCTCACCAAGGCTGAGTGAGCAACAGGGAAGATGGAATGGTTCAGATGAGGCAGGGCCTTGACCAAGGAAAAGAGTTTAGATTTTGCCCTAAGGGCAATGAGAAATCAAAGGAGAGTTTTAAGCAGGAGGAAGTGGAGCATGACTGTAGTCCTAGCTACTCCACAGGCTGAGGCAAGAGGATTGCTTGAGCCCAGGAGTTTGAGAGCAGCCTGGACAACTTGGCAAGACCCCATCTCAAAAACAAAACAAAACAAAAAAATTTTTAAATCAGAAAAACGACATGATATAATTTGTGCTTTAAAGGGCTAAAGTTGATTGCTATGTGAAGGAGGGACAATAGGGAGGAGGCAAAAGTTGGAATCAAGGAAGAGATGATGGTGGCTTGGACCAGGGCAATGGCAGTGGAGATGGACTTCATATTGGGGGATAGGACTGAAGAGACCAAACTCAGGTTTCTAACTGAACAACTAGGCCAATGGTAGTACCAATGGTAGAGAGAAGTTATGAATTTAGACTTGAAGCTGCTTAACCTAATGAAAAGGAGGTGGTTGGGGGTTAAAACAGAGTAAACTGCAGGGACCTAAAACAGATTCTACCTACTTCATGTGGCTATCGCTGACAAATGGTGGCCTATGTGCAAAAAGCAAACAGAGGAAAGGAGCTCAGGTTGATGTGGGAAGCACTGTCTTATGGTCAAAGCTATGCAAAGAGAAAGCAGTGAGCTGCCTTGGGAGTGGAGGCAGAAGGAGATGAGGACTTAACCTTCTTTGGAAATATTACAGAATAAAGCAGATGACCTTGACTAGTAGATTGAAGTTCGGTATTTGGGTGGGCAGAACACTGCCTAAAATCCTTCTAAACCCTGAAATTCTGTAGTTTTATAGTAAAATTAATTTTATCTTTTGGACTAGAGTTTCTCTAACAGCACAGAACTTCTTTAATATCTCTTACCTCTCAGAAGTCAAATGAACACAAGGTCAGCTAATTTCAGTCACTATAAAGTGATTCCTACTTCACTTCTAAGTGTCATGTGAGATGCTGAGAAGCTTTATGGTGTAAGGGAAAGGCACAGTTATAGAACTGGATATTACATATCTGCAATTTATTAGTTCTGTATCCTCTGGCAAGTTATTTAAATCCTGTGAGTCTCAGTTTCTGTCTTTGAAATATGGGGAAAATCATGCCTTATTCAGGATGTTTGCTGTAAGACTCAAACAGCAATGTCTAATATATTCTGGTAATAATAATTATCATCATAGCTAACATCTATTACTATAGATATAAAACTATATGCCAGGCATATGTTACATGCATATATTTCATCAAATCCTTAAGCAATACACAAAGTAATAATCACTATTATTATCCCTGTTTTGAAAATTACAAAACTGATTTCCAGAGGCTACAATAAGTCATATAACAAGCAGTTATGAAAATTAGGTAAAAAACAAATAAACTTCAATAAAGGTCAAAAGAAAAAGACAGAAAACCATATTTCGGCAATTTGAACAAAATACTATTGAATTTAACAATTCAATTCACTGACTAGATACTTAATAAATATCTATTGAATATATGAATGAATGATTCCAACAAACATTTGTTGAATTTCTACCAGGCACAGCATTAAGAAACTGGCGTTTCAGATCATTTACATCACTTTAATTGAGAGTTGCCATTAAAACCACAATCTTCAAATGGCAGATAAACTGCCAATATAAAAAGTCCTAAGAAATGTCATTCTCATATACAGCCCAAAAGAAGTCAGAATTACTATTGTTCTTTCCCATGGAAGTCTTTCAATTAGAAGATCATTCAGAACAGTAAGCAGGAAACCAAGAGCACACAGAGAATGGAAGCCAAGGGAGCAGATATCTCAAAGACACTCAAAGAGTGATCAAGTTGGAAACACTATTTTTAGCTTAAAATGATATTGATTCTCTTGGATCTTTCATTCAAGGTGTCTTTGAGATATCTTTGGACATAAATGTCCCCCCACAGACCCATGTGTTAGAGGTGTTATTGGGAAATGGTAGACACTTTAAGAGGTGGGGCCTAGGGAAAGGTCTTTAGATCACTGGGGCATACCATTGAGGGAGACTATAGACCCCAGATCTTTTTGATCTGTGGCCATGAAGTGATGAGTTTTGCTCCTGCACACACTCCCTCCGTGATATGCTGCTTTGCCACAGACCCAAAAGCAATGAGTCCAATCAATCATGAACAGAATATCCACAAGAGTGAGCCAAAATAAACCTGCTGTCTTTGTGAGTCTCAGTTTCTGTCTTTGAAATATGGGGAAAATCATGCCTTATTCAGGATGACTTTTGTTAAGTGATAAAGTATTCTGTTATAGTGGTAAAAAGCTGACCAATACAGTAAGATTTCCAAAGGAACAGAAATTTAAGAGGACAAAAGCTGAATAAAATGATAGTCTTAGTAAATAGGAGCTTCCTAATGGCTGTCACTGGAATTGGTGGGGGGGTGGGGGAAGGAAACCAAGTTTCAAAGGGCAATTAGATGGATGGATTAAAGAGGAAGATGAGGCAAGTTTTAAGTTTGGTAATAAAAGGAAGGAGAGGGAAAAAATAATAGCCTGGTGAGAAGCAAAAGGACTGTGGGTAAGGAGCCAAAAGAAGAGGAAAAGCTGAAGACAGAAGACAAGTGGAAAAGATACCAGAAAGAAATAGGAGGCCAGACTCCAGGAAGTGGAAAGACACAAGACAGAATGCATAAGGAAAGTAGAAGTGACCTTCTACTCTGAGACAGCAATAAAAGAGAAGAGACTCTGACATATGGACATTGTAAAAAATTATTCTGAATCAAACTTGGTAAATACAAAGATATTGGGCTAGGGTTCTAGCTCAGTGGTAGAGCACTTGCCTAATACATATGAGGGACTGGGTTCAATCTTCAACACCACATAAAAATAAATAAATAAAATAAAGGTATTTTCATCCATCTACAACTAAAAAAATTCTTAAAAATACAAAGAGTGATCAAGCGGGATAACACTATTTTTAGTTTAAAATGATATTGATTCTCTTGGATCATTCATAAATTGGCATTGAAAAGAACAATAGTTATTTGGATTTAAGTTCTGTACAGTTCAAAACCAG